TCATTGGGATAATGTTACCTTAAAAGTGTTGGAGGATTTGAATATATTTTGTGAGATGGCATTTTTGGATTTCTTCCCATTCTCACTCCTTTGTTTTGAATGCAGATAGGTTGTACAAGCATTGCTTTAACTCACAAAAGCTTTCTGAATCTAAAATGAAGCATTTCAAAATTAAAAAAAGCAAAGTCAGAAAGATTGAGACAGCAAGCAGCCCTCTCAGAGAATGCTGTTTGGCAGTGGTATTATTAGAGGAGCTGGAGCTGAGAGAAGAGAGCGTGTGCACAAAATTCCCTGCGTCACTAAATATGACTTTCAAAACCTCATAATATCTTCTGTAAAAGCTACCATCCTGTCAAACATTTTTTCGGTTGATCTCTTTGTGGCTGAAACTATAAAGAAAGCTCAAATAAAGTCGCAACTATTTTTGCTATAAAAAAAGCCACATCCTTTTCCTTTCTCCTCCTTGCTCTAAACCCCTGGCTGTACGGCATTTGATCAAGCTTTCAAAAAGACAAAACAAAATTCTCCCTCAGGCATAGAGCAATCTTGGGAAGTTTTGGCTCAAGAGACAGATATTTCTGAGAAAATGAAAAAGAGATCTTGGAAACAAAATCCTACAGCAACCATAACTGTGCATCTCTATGGTGGCTTTAATTATTATGTGGAAAGATTCAGTCAGATATTTAGAAAAGCTGGGGGACTTATATTAGGACTGAAAGACTGGAATGGGGCTGGCAGCTGTGATAGGGACAGGGGACCCTGAAGAAGCACATCTGCCTTCCAGTTCTGTGTCAGGATATGGCCATGCAGCAGCGGGCAGATGAAAGGAGGTGCTTTTGTGTCTTTTGTAGTCTCCCTGGTAAATCCTCTTCCAAAGGGAAATGCCGGAGAGTGAATGCAGCCAGAGTGCTCGTTCTCCACATCATTCAGGCGTGTCTCAGTCCTGAATTGGGAGCTGATGCTTAGCCATCAAAAGAATATTTCATACCTGCCTTGACCTATTTAGTTATTGGCAATCAGGCAGCCTGCTGTTCTATGCATGTGTGTGAGCCCACACCTCTTTTGGACAGTTACCTGCTAATAATCAGAGCTGAGCTGACAGCACGAGGTCATTAATGGATATTAAGATTTTTATCAACTCTGGCCTGTGTCTGATTTAAATCAGGTGTCTAGAAATGATAACTGACCACCTCCATGACCTTTTGCCAAGCAGTTATATAGTATTTAATACATCAGATTTTTCCAACCATATATATTCCCTCATTTCTATGTTATTCTGACACTATTTTCTCAGCATTATCTACCTATAATTTTCTTCGATGAACTAGCACTCTCTTTTTCAACGCTGGAGTATGCATTCTTCAAACAGATGTTAAGCATTAAAAATAGCAAGGAATAATGATAAATAATTGGGATGATCTGAGAGATCGCAAGAAATAAAGGAAATAATTTAAGGGGAAAAAAATTCTATTACCATCAAAAGGCAAAGTAAAGTAAGAAAATAATTGCAGAAGTTCTACTTAGTAATCTTGAGGTGCCTGAACCCTGAACCCTGACATGTCTGACGTGCAGTTAGCATCAATCTCAGGTAGGGCTGTGGAGATTGTATTGTCCATGAGGCAATCTAAAAGGTAGCTCTGTCTTATGTATATAAATGTTGGAGTCATTCAGATTTAGAAACATGAATGCGTGGCTTAAGTCTGTGCCACCCCCTTTTCTCTAAGCTTTGAAGCTTGATCTTTCCTTTTGCAAGAAACATAACAGAGTCTCACTCCTTGCTCTTTCCATTTTCTATGGAGGTATGTGTTTACATGGAGGTATGAGTTTACACGAGTAAACTCATAATCTTTGTCTCTGTGTGAGTAATGGAGCTACAGGCATCACAAAAAGTGATTGTATGTGACCAGCCCCCAGACATCGTTCTTCAGTTTTCTCTGTGTAGGACATGCAGTTGAGGGCACGATTGAAGTCTTATCATACCGCAGTCAAGCTGTATAATGAAACTTTAATGTCATAGTGTCTCCTCAAATGCTGTAGCTTTACACCTTAATAATTTTTGCCTTTTGTCCTTTGAACCCTCTCCAAATTTTCTAATTAGGTTGTTTGGTACATAATGAGGGTTCTCAGTGCTGGCCCCTCTGCTCAGCACTGCACAGGTGACAAAGTCCATCACCCCTCTTCACTGTGATCTATTGGCTTTAAGGCGTTTCTTATCCTTCATTTACAAGCAGTGAACAATTTGCTGTCCAGTTTTGTTCTTCCTAAGTGCTTGACATCGTTTATTTTGGATTTCTCCTTCTTGGATGATGCTGCTTTGGGTTGTGTTAGTAGGGGTCAGTGCAAGTGTTGTTTTACAATGAATTTCTTTTTGTTACTTCTCACTTCAATTCTGTAGATACGTATATATTGCTGTGGTTTTGCCCTTTCTCTTTTGTTCCTGAGTGTGCACTTTGCAACATCTTTTACATCCCTAATGAAGGTATTACTCCAAGTCAAAACTAGATGGAACCCTGTGAACATTTTGCTTCTGCTACCTCATCACTGTCCCTGCTGCAGTTCTCTGTAGGTCTCCTTATCAGTCTCCTTTCTGCTTTAGCTCCTCCTGTAGGTCTTTATTAAGCAAATTGTTTATGCTGGTTGCTGAACTTCAAGAATGCAAACAAGCATTTGCTTTCATCTGGTGGTTGCTCAAAACCGAGTTGGAAAGATTTAAGCATGTGCTTAAGTGCTGCTGAAGGGAGGCTTCTCTTTCAATTTAATTACTTTTATCCCTTACCTTTTGATTCTAGTCTTCTATGTATAAAACATCGATATCTCCCCCTAGAATGGATTCTTTCTTTATCCCACGTCACTTGTTGCTCGTGTTTCCAATGCCCTCTCGAAGTTTTCTAATAGCTCTTTTTGTACTGCTTGGTCGATTATTTTACTGGAGATTGAAGATAAAAGTGCTGGGCAGTAATTGCCAAGATCATTCTTCCTTCTGTGTAAATCAATACTATATTTGCTTTATTTCCAGCCTTTGGGACTTCCATAGTTCTCCATGACTTTCAAAAATAATTGCCAATGGTTCTGTAAATTAACTGGCTATACCCTCATCACCTAAGGATGAGTGCAACCAGATTAGCTGATTTGTATGATGGATATTCAAAATTTCCAACTGTTCCTGTAACCTGCATTACAGTGATGGCTATTTGGCTAGGATTTTCATTATTTCCCAATTGCTACATCCCTTTTTTCTATTTTATTCAAGAAAAAAATAGTAAAGGGGTAAGTTGGCCTTGGAAGAAATACTGGTTTTTTCATCTTCCCCTCACTTATTAATGAAACTACTTCCTGGCCATCTTTCCTTTCCCCTACAAGGCATTGGAGAAAGCCATTCTTATTCTCCAGTACTGCTTGGGTTAGCATAAATTCAGCTAGGTTTCTCCTGTCCTTTCATTTCTCTTTTCTACTATTTGCTCTTCCATTTGCTGCTGCTTGTTTCTGGGTTCTGCTACCTCTGAGCAAAGCAGCTTGCACTGCTGTCACTGACCTATTCCTACAAATAATTGGAAACATAGCTGGGCCAGAAGGATCCAATCCATCACCAAATTCCATCCCATCTCTCCCTCACTGACCTCATGTCCTCTCATACGTGAACTTTTTCACTGTCTTTTATTTATCAGCAATGGAAAAGGAATAGCTTTAGGGCAGATATTTATGACTGTCTTTCCAAGACACTTCTCTCTTTCCAAGAGAGACGTAATAGGCAGGTGCCAGGATTAAGCAAGCCCTGTGTTTCTGGTTCCCCTGAGGTCACAGCAGAGACCCGCCCTGGAGGTGGCTGCCCATTTTCTCTGTATTTTGTCGCTGCAACCTCAGCCAATGTATGATGTTTGAGCCCAAAGCACTTTTGTTGCTGTCTCTCTCTCTCTCATGTACTTGTAAGGGCACTGACTTACATGACCTAGCAGGACTTTTCCATCTTTAACTTCTTTTACATGGTTTACCTTTTACAGCAGCATTCTCTGACTCTTTCATTTCTTGGTCGTTTCTTTTTCCCAGAGGCTCAGTTTTATACCTCCCAGCTCTCAAAATGCCCTCACTTTAATAAATGATGGCAGTTTACAAGCTGTGCTTTAGACACTATTCTTGTTGTGCTTGAAGTATTTCTGAACAGATAATTGTCAAAACTCTTCCCAGATTTAGGGCAGATTTTTTTCCTGTCATTGTGGTACCAGCTCTCAAACTGGTCTCTGCAGGTTTTAGAGTGAGTTGTTGTGTTGTCCTCAGAATAATGTAATGTAATGTAGTGTGTCAAGCAGTTCACACAACCTGTTTCTCCCTTGAGGCTGCTGCTATCCTAAAACTATTATTTTAAGGAGGGAAAATGTTTATTCTCTTCTTTGATGTTGTTTCATGTTAATATGCCTCTATTTTGCCCATTTTCCTCATGGTGGAGGCTGCTTTCTTTGCTCCAGCGACCAGATACTTGGAATGAAAACATGTTACTGCCTACTTGTCTTAGAGGGAGTGCAGGAAATGGGTCTGGGGGGAGAGCACATTATTTTCTTTCTCAGCTTTGCTACCATACATATTTATTACCATGTTCCTGGCTTCCCACTGATTATCTATAATACAATCTTCTGAAAACATATGGGTAAGACTCTAGAAACATATTACAGGAAATATGAAAAGTACTATTTTGTTACTAAATTCATGATTATCCTTCTTTTGAGAGTACCTTATGAAGACCAAACATGATACCACAGATGGTATAGTTGGAAACAAGGTGCTTAATTAAAATAAATTATAAAAAAAGAACACCCCTCCCAACTTTTAACTTAATTTATATACTGTCTTGATTTTTTGGCATAACCCCTATCACCATGCTGCTCCAGGAGCCTTTTGCCTCCCTCACCAGATTTCTGTGTAATGCATATTGTGCTTCTTGATGTGCCAGAAGCGGTCCATGTCCCCTGTCAAACCTTTCCATACTCACAGATGTTTCATCTCACATATTTTAAATTTCATCACTACTCGAAAGAGGAGGCTGAGTGTTTCAGGACCCTGACAAAGGGATCACAGTGACTGTCTCTGCTCATACAGCCCAGTCTCTGCTCTTCAGTTGTTTTCTGAGTAGGATTCCATTCACATTACGTGGGCATCTCTGTTGCCCTGAAAAAAAAGGGCAACAGAGGACCTCTTTTTTCCTGCTTGATTGAAAATATTTTCATGTATGGAAGAAATTCACACTAAACCCTAAATAAACTAATACAAGTCCAGCATGTTAGCACAGTAGGTGGCTTACTGTAGTCAGCGGCAGCATCTTTTTCTTCCAGGCAGTTTGCCCACTATGACTTTGTTCTTTATTCCCTGCTGTCTCATATGGTCAAGAATAGAGTCCCAATTAATACTTGCCATGTTGCCTCATGCTCAGCCATCAGGTAAGCTTGAAAACTTCCCATTCATTAGGCACTCCCACTTGAAATGTATTAGATGTTATGGAAGATGACCAAGGGAAGGGAAGGTCCCCAAAAGCTTATGGCAAGCAGACAGCAACATTGACTTTGGGTAAGAACACAGAAGGATGCTCACCATTGTCATAGAGGCTGAGGTTTGCCTTTCTATGCAGGGCTGCTGAAGACATCCCTGGCATTTGTTTCTAGTTCTAATGTCTTTGATGCTGAAAGAATGACGAAAAGATGCAAAGAAATTTTAAAAACAAACAAACAAAGAGGACAATAAGAATGCTAAAGACATAATCCTCCAAGAGCTAAGTTATCAAAGAGAATGTTAGGATGTGGCTTGATCATGGTCCATTGATAACTTTGAGGAGAAGACTGATAGTAGAGGGATCTTAAAATTAAGTAGACAGAATTGTTAAGCAGTCCCCTCAGGCATGGAAAGTGTGGGACTAAGGCCTTTGCCCCAGTCTTAGCTAAACTGATGGTTTCAGAGTAGGATTGTGAAGGCCCCAGGCGGATTGCTCATGGTTGCATTGCAACTGCCAGGCAGATGCAGCCTCCGGTAGGTCACATTGGCTGAGGAGGTAGCCTGTGTTTTGCCAGTGCCAAGGTGGTTATTGGCTGTTTTCCCTTTAGACACAGACATCCATTTGAGAGTCACTCCTCAGGGGCGATGCATTCCTGCAACTTTTACTCATTGATGCTGGGTCCGTTTGTCTCTCCATCTATAACACACAGAAGTGTGTCAAGTGTGTCATATTTTAGTTTGTCACACATATGCCCACCTTCCCAAATCTTCTTGCAACTGAAAGATAACAACTCCACACCAAATACAGGTGTTCTGCCAAGACTAAAGCTGAGTCAAAGTGTATAAAAGCGAAGAAAGGCAGGCAAGCTCCGATGGTTCAGACTTTGCTTTAGTCCTGTTATTTAATGAGAAGGTTCCTCTTCATCTGCTCAAAAACTGTTTTCTGTTGCAACACTCTTCAGAAAATAATTTCTTATACCTTCTGTCTCACAGCAGGTTGTACGGCTGCATTTGTTTTCAATCTTGGCCTGATTGCAAATCTAAAATATGGTTCTTTGTTCTTTTTAAACAAAGCAAAAACCCCTCCAAGCAGAATTTGAAGAAAATGGTCTATCTTCTTTTAAAGATGGTTTTGAAATATTTTGAAGGTTTTGAACTGTATTAGGCAAATGATAACTGTAAAGTTCCTTTTGTACTGGCTATATAACCTTGGCAGGAACTTGGAGCTCTTATTAGTCTAGGTAATGAGGAATAATAATAGTGATAATGACACTTCTGAATGTTTAAAATAGATTCTGTGACAATGTGCTGGTCAAATGTGAGATAATCTTAAGTCTAATACAGTTTTAATTCTCAAGCTATATAAAAATCCAGTTTTAAGATGACATGCCATTCTGAGATAATCTTCCCTGCATAATGAGTTAAGAAATTTAGGCCTTTCTACATTCCAGTTACTGAGTTTATAATTTTATCTTGCAATTTGGACACATCAGAAGGTAACGAGTAAGAGTTTACCAAGAGTAAGGCCAAGAGTAAGGGACAGTCTGGCATGTAATTTTAGGTGCTTAAAACACCAGCTATTAGAGACATGGCTCCCCATGCTTACAATTTGATGTTGTTTAATTTATCAAAATCAGCTGGCTATGTTTGGGATCCTTCTTAAAGAAGCAAAACATGGAGACCTCAGTAGAAACCCAGTCTTCCAGGTCTGGGACAAGTTGTGAGTTTTTGTTTAATAACAATGACAACTTCTAGCAAACTTGTCAGCGAACCATGAATAAGAAGTCCCAGTTACTTTATTTCTTGGCCTGGCAGTTTCACATGTGCCCAGCAGAGAGCTCTTTGTCTCTAAACCTCTCTGTTTCTAAGGAATGTGCCCCAGAAAACTTTAGGATGAAGAAAGCTCACATCAGATAGGAAAGGCAAACTATACTATAGCAATGTCTTAGGTCCGACTTAAGACAGTGAAAAGAAACTCACTGAGTTAACATCCTCTCATCTCTAATCTAGGCTCCATTCCTGTAACAATTAGAGATTTAGAAAAGCAAGGGTCCCTGAAATTTGAAGGTTCAAGGATAAAAAAGGATATTACATAAAGTCAGCTGAAACTAGTGTATATCAAATTCTTTTTTAGTGTTACTAACTTTTTCTCTCTTTCTCTTTTTTCTTTCTTTTTTTTTTAAGACCACCACAGGACTCAGGCCTTGGTAATTCACATTTATAAGTAAATTCTCAGCTTATTTAAACGAACATATTCTGAGGAATACCTTGGAAGTCTGCAGAGACTCTCTGCTGGCTGCCAATACAAAGCTGCAGGTAATAGAAAACTCCTGGCCAAAATTTCTATAAAAATGAAATGAAAAAAAAGTTCAAGTTCTGGAATTTTATATGTAAAGTATAATTTATATGTATATAATTTATATGTATAATTCTAATCTTAAATATTTCTCCTAATCTCTCCATAATTCCTGGATTTAATTAGCTTAGTTTGCAAGATAAATATGAGATGTTTCCCTGCAAATTATTCACTTCTCTTCTTGTTCATGAGTTGTTTATAGACCTATATTTATTGAGTAATTTGTAGTCTCTGGTGATCTTTAGTCTCTCCTTGCTGGGAATCCCAACCAAATATTCCTCAGCGGATTTTCTCCAGACTTCATTGATTCACTATTCGTGCTGCCCAGTCTATGACTAGTCACCTAAGTTTCAGTGTGTGGTCTCAGACTGCTGAATTGGTGATAGCTGATTTGGATTGTGAGATAAAGGATAACTGTGTAAGAAATTATATTTCCCATGCAAAAGTAATCTGGTTCCTACACAAATGCAGGCTTTGCAGAATAAAGCTCAAACTGCTCATCATTCGTATGACCAAAGCTCAGTCAATCTACTGTAGAGTAGACAGAAAGATGCAGAAAGTTGTAGAATTCACTGAATTCACTCCCACCGTGCCCTAGACCAGTTGTCCACTTTTGAAGGACGAAGAAAACCAGGCTACATCTATTGAGAAAGAAGATGGAGGCTCAGTTTCCTCCTGCTTCCTTGCTCTAGAGCTTGTTGTTGGGAAGAGATTCAGCTGAATGCTGCAATGACAAAACTCATTATCAATTTTACACAAGTTAGTTTTCTCATGGAAAACCTTACTTCACCACTTTTTATCCCTCTCACCCACAGTCTCTGCCTGAAGGCTGTGATTCTCTCTGAAACATATCAGTTTGGTTCCCTGGCAAACTGAGACAGTTAATTAGCTGTTTTCTGCTTTTCTGTGCTTGTGCCTTTCTCTGTGACAGAGTGAACAAATCTGCAGCCAGAATTTAGATGCATGAGTGATAACATGAGCATCACAGTGTTGCCAGCCATCCCTGCCATGATGCTTCTCCACACACGCAAACAGGTTGGCCACTGAATACATAAACTTTGTCATCTCCCCTCCTTGATCCTACCCAAACCTTAAAAGCTGCAGAAGACCCTGGAAAACAGTTCTCCACAGTTCAGAGTAATACAGAGATCCCTCTGCGCATCCCTGCCATTGCCCAGTGTTGAAGTGTGAAGGAGCAAGATTCAGGTTGGGAACAGTTCCAGGCATGGAGAAAAGCATACAGCAATTGGCAGGACTTTATTATATGGACCTTACAGTTATCATATGGACTTTACTGTTATTATGTGGTTTCATTGTATTCACACTACACAGTGCACAACCTGGTCGTGCCCAGGCTTGCCATGGGTTTGCCTGCTGCCTGCTCCCTGCTTCCTCCACTCCTCCCCCTTTTGTCCATGTCCCTATCCTGGTTGTTCCCCTGCTTGTCTGTCTCATGCTCCGCCCTATGTTCTGGCCCTTTCCCCGCCCGAGCTGACAAAAGACAGTGTGCACGCGTGAATAGGGCATTCTACTTGCACCCTTCCTCGTGTCCCATACCCTCTTCGGACCGCGGTATTGAAGCACTTGCACTCCCAGCCTGGGTGTGCATGGGGTTTACTCCAGATGGCAGGAAGGCTGCAGCAGTTAGCAGAGTAGTATAACTGGAAAGCAGGTGAGAACAGGAAGGAACAAATGGTCTGATGTGAGGGTTCCATACTCAACTTGGTAGTAGCATGAGGCATGCACATTTGCCACAGCTACGGACTTCTGCCAAGTTACAGTGCATTTGTGAAGTTACTGAGAAAAAACAGTAGTTAGCCAAGAGCTGAATTGTTTTTCAAGCTTCTGAATTTCCTCAGTAAGTGAATCTGATCCCTACCAAAAAAGATAAAATCTACCTGGTTTTAGTGTGGGATGTCATTAATGTCTGAGAAGACTTTAAGAACACCAGAACATATTCATAAACTGATCCTTAGTGATTTGTGCATGCATATCTCTATCTATCTAACCTATCCTTCTGCATTTCCATCTTAGGCAGACTCTTCCTCTGCGATTTGTGAACGTACCTTGAAGAGGGCTAACAGCCTCCTTATTCGGTAGAGCCACCACACTGAGAAGTCATGGTACTCAGAAGGAAAACCAACACTTGGAAAGGTTTGTATTCCAATTCCTGATTTCATGGATTAGTCTGAAAATTGTGTTATCTATTCTGCCTGAGTGGCAGCTGGTTATAAGCCTTGAGGGAGAAATACTAAATATCACTTTCTCTTTCATAAGAAAGATGATCTTATTTATTTGAACTGGATTTTACTCTGTGCTTTTTCTATGCCCTAGAGCACCAAGCATAACTTTGGTACTCCAGAAGCTTTCTGCCCTGTGCCTTTGAATCAGCCCACCCTGTCTTGGCACACATCTGACATTTCAGTAGCAGTTTGTACCTACATGCTAATTGAGATCTCCAAAGTCCCCTAACAGAACATGGCCCAACTTCATCCTCTGTTTCAATGATTGACTGTTCCAGTGATACTCTAGCTACTCTTTACAACATTCCTGTAGGATATGTAATATTCCCATGGAGCAGGTCAGAAAATATAAGATTTAAAGCACAGAGGTTCAAAATGTTTCATATCATGCATTCAAGCTGACCTCAGTTTTTCGGTTTCAAAGCTCTTATATTTTTCTCAAAAGCATGATTGAGATCAGAGAGAGAATGGCATCACCAATTTGTTCACAGTCATGAACTTATTTGGCTAAGACTTATAGTGAAAACAGTCTCCCAGAGAAGAACATAAGCCATAAGGAAGCTGAAAAAAAAAAAAAAAGAAAGGTTTTGATCTATGTTATAAAGGTGGGCCACTTGGATGACTGTCCTTGCTATTCAAATACATATGGTTTACTCCGGTTCCTGGTCCTGCCATCAGCTGAGAGAACTAGGAGTAGGAGATGTCACAAAGCCCCAGCCTACCCAGTAGATCAATATCTAAGTCAAGAGGAGAATATTGTTCTTGCCCCCTGGGGCTGTGGTTGGACACAACTGCCTCTTTTGTGTTATCAGAAAAGCCCATTAAGAGCAACTCATTTATACTGGGACAAACAGATTTATTTTCTTCTTTCTTTTAAGTCCTTTCTAGTTCTCTGTCAACAAACATTGATTTAAAATGGACATTTATCTTCCTTGGGCAGAACACTTTCAGACATCTGCAATCCTCTGAACTTGCTCTCTAACACTGGAAAGTTATAACGTCAGTGAATGAAGCCTGTGATAGAATTTTTAATAGGCAAATATTACCACCAGATTTACCTGTTGACAGTGGAGTTGATGTTAATGGCAGATGGTATGAACTAGGGGAACTTTTGGGCCTTTTAATGCTAAAAGCCTGCAGCATATAGGTTTTTAATTTACAAGATCCACTTACCATCTACTTGTAGGGAGCCTGAGGCTTGCAAATGGGTAAAAATGGATAAAGCAGTTAAAGAGGTGCTGAAGTATTATTAGGTGTGAAGCTCTGAGTGGAAATACTGTGTTCAATTGCTGCATTAGGTGGGTGCAGAGGTACAGGCAGTCACTGCCAGCTGGCTACAATGCATTAGTGGGAGACCCACACCTATTTGAGTGTGTGCTAACAGAGAATAGAGGATGGCAGCTTTAAGATTAGCTGCATGGCAGGAGAAACAGGCAACAACCAGGAAGCCATTCTTAGTAAGATTAGGCTTATGTATATTTTACATTTTGTCACTGGTTCCTCTTGGGAAGGCAAACTCGGTGCAGACATGTTGGAAATATACTCCTGAGGTGCACCAGCTAGCCCTCCAGCAGGCACTACTGGGCTGCAGGGGATTGCTGGAGCCCTCATTTGCATCAGAACTGTGAGATTTCAGGCAGGAGAACTGTGATACCCTGCTTCTGCCTGCAAACAGCAGGAAAAGTCGCAATCTCCCTCACTGGGAGTTGGCAAAACTTGCAATGGGGGACAGATATGTGTACCAGATAGAACAGGTTTTTCTGTTCTTTGGTTTTAATTTTCCTGGGAGATGTGAAAGGAAAGCAGAGATCATAGTATGTATTTAAATTAACAGAAACTCTTTGGCTTCTTACATGAAGGACATGTATGAAAACAGGAACATCAGAGCAACAGGGAAGGCAACTTGACGAGGGAAGCACTTAAAATAATGCAACTGCTTCATAGTGCACAATGAGGTCAAGGTTATGAAGAAGTCCAAACTCTGTCAGAGCTCCTCATTTCAAACTAATGAACACTTTGATGACAGGAGCTGGAGTTTCTTGACAAAGGGGTTGAACTGTTTGCAGCTAAGTGGTGATGTCAATGTCAGTAGCAGCACCGAGAGGTTAAAGACGGTAATTTAATTCATTTGGGTAAGCATGTGTCACCTTTTTGGTCAGGAGGGTCTGAACAAATTCCTCCTCTGGGTTCAAGTTCAACACTTTATCTTCAAAATATCAAGGCCAAACAGAGTTCAGTTTTACATGCACGCATAGAAGTTCACCTTTTATTCACCAGAAACATCTTGTTTCATGGCTCATAAATATTAAACTTACATAAATGTAACCTCTGTCCTCTCAGGGGTGATCATGAGTGAGCGAATTAAAGAACTAAAATTTCCAAGCTGCAGTCTCTTTTTCTGTTGTTAAGCACTCTCTGCTAGAGGCTGAACAAAAGCACAAGCAACTGTGATCAACTCAAACGCAGAAAGGACTCCCACCTTGATTCCCACTTCCCCCCCTCTGACTACCCAGTTGTAGAAACTTAACAACCACAAGTACCCCAGCCTGAGTTTGTGAGCTTTGAAAACAACAATAAAAACCCAAGTGTCTTCAATGTCCCATTCATAAAAGCCATGCCCCATGTGTGAGGGCATTATTGGTTTCTGTGGTGCTGTGGCCATATCAGTGCTGCCATGTCCTTCTTCAGTAATTTGTTGTCGCGCTAGCACAGTCTAGAAGTCACCAGTAACAGAAACGTCCAACCAATTTTGTGCTGTAACTTCCGAGATGAAAAACTTGGCTGGGAAAAAACAGAAGTCATAAGTCTATTTGCCTCACCTTCTTACTGTATGCTTATCTGGAACAGCTTGTGAAATTATTTGGAAACCTAATGTACTTAGCAGATAGGGACCAAGACTCTCTGTGAGCTTGCCAAAAGCGAACTTTAATTCACAGTCTTGATATCATGGGAGAGCTATACTTGAAATGGTCTGATGTAAGGCTTTTCTGACATTTATATGGTGAAATACAATTCAGTCCCATATTTAAAGGGAAAAAAAGGAGGCAGAACAAGGAAATCTCTTAGGAAAGCTTCAAGGATGATGATCAACATCTAAAAGTTACCCTGATCAGCATCATTTCTCCTATGGGTCTTTGAGAGTGGTTCTTGGATTCGCTTTTGGTGCAAAGAAAGATTTATTTAGTTGACTTTGAATCTCAAAAAATCAAATATTTCCAGATGCTCAATACCCTCAGTTCCTGCTATTTTTGTTGGACATTAAATGGCACCTAAGAAATAGTAGCTTCTGAGTACTTCTGCCACTGAGCCTGCCATGCTATTCCAGCTAGAAAATCTGTGTTAGCTCTAAGGCTACTCTTTACTCCTCCTGATTCCATCTTGTCTTGCCTCTCATGCTGAGCACCTTCCTCAGTCTTGCCTGCTGCCTGCTGTTTGCAGAGACAGGACACAGAGCCTGCTGTTGCTTCAGATTTCAAACATGATGCTCATCTCATACCCAGAGAAGACTAAAGAGATGGTCTAAGTAGGTAATAGAGTAATAGAAAGTGGAATTAGCAATAAAAAACTATTAAAAGGCTGTTCTGTAAATCTGCAGTGGCTAAAAAAAGAGTCCTGGCAGGGGTTGATACTGTCCTTCGCTGCAAATGGTGTCTGGGGCATAATTGTGCTCTCATGCTGATGATGACAGATGTACAAACCAGAAAGTGACAATAGTATGAGGTAGCTTTGCAGAGGGAAGCTTCGTCCTCCAGCCAAGCCACTGAACCTCTCCAACTGGAAAAGACCTTGTGCCATAGTTGTGACTCATAGAGGATGTTATCTCCTCTCAGAGAAGGTAAGTGGGCTTGAGTATCTTTCTGAAGCAGGTCAGCTGCTGGGAGAGGCACACAAATGGGCTCAAAGGGAAAAGCTGGTGTCCCAGAGAAGATATCTTGCTACACGA